GTGTGTTGTGTTGCAGCACATATGAGGTCAGTGGGTATTTCACAGGAATGTTTGGCTTTATGCCTGGCAGAAGCAAAGCTGTGGGTTTGATTGCCAACACTGCAAATAATAATACAATAATTTGGAACTAGAGAGATGATGGCTCAGAGCTTAAGAGAACTGGTTACTCACCCGAGCGGTGGTGGCACACGCCTTTAATCCCAGCAGAGGCAGAGGCAGGCAGATCTCTGAATTTGAGGCCAGCCTGGTATACAGAGAGAGTGACAGAACAGGATCCAAAGCTACATAGAGAAACCCCGTCTCGAAAAACAAGAGAGAGAGACAGAGAGAGCTGGCTGCTCTTCCAGAGGTCCTGAGTTCAATTCCCAGCAACACATGTGGCTCACAACCATCTATAATGAGATCTGGTGCCCTTTTCTGGTGTGTAAGCATACATGCCAGTAGAACATTGTATACATAACAAATAATTAATAATTAATTTTTGGGGGGCGGGGTGGGTTTTGAGACAGGGTTTCTCTGTGGCTTTGTAGGCTGTCCCGGAACTAGCTCTTGTAGACCAGGCTGGTCTCGAACTCACAGAGATCCACTTGCCCCTGCCTCCTGAGTGCTGGGATTAAAGGCGTACACTGCCACCACCATCCAGCAAATAATTAAATCTTAAAAAGAAATACAGTGATTTGTTAGTGTTAGTATTTATCTCATCAGTGATCAAATCTCTCAGCTAATCTATGAGGGGTTTCAGCTTGTGAAATGTCTCTAACAAGCTCCTGTTTGTACAGTTGGTCTCCCATCACTGGTGCTGTATTGGGGCCAGTGTAGCCTCTGTGCAGGAAGTGTGTCTCTGGGAACCAGCCTCAGTGGACCTACATTCAAATGCTGCTTCTTATGCAATGCAGCCATCCCCAGCCCAAGTCTCATTGTCGTTTTACATACATAGGTTTCATGTTGTTGGTTTGACTGTAGAACCAATCTCACATCTGGTATTAGCTACAGGCAGGGCCTAAGACAGGGTGGTTGAAGGCAATGGGGGAAGTAGGAACAGAAGGTTTACCACGAGTTTACAGTTGGTAAATCTTCGTGTAGGGCACATGATGTTTTATTACACTCTTCTTTTGTTTGAGGTTTTTCTACAACAGAGTATTGAAAAGAGAAGTTCACATTTAAGGTTTGCTTTCTAAGACAAGAGAACTTCCTTTTGTGAATAGGATCTGTAGCACTTTGGTGATGTGTCCTGTGACTATTAGGAAAACTTGCTATGCACATAGCACTGGCTGGCCTGGAGCTCTCTATGTAGAGTATGTAGAGTATGTAGAGTAGGCTGAGCTACTCAAAGAGATTCTGCAGCCTCTGTCTCCCAAGTGCTGAGATTAAAAGTGTGCACCACCATGCCTGGCTTGCCAAACATTCTTTTTTAAAATTTTATTTATTTATTTATTTTTCCTCTCAGTCCTTCATTTTATCTTTCCCTAGATTTTTTTTATTTAAATTAGAAACAATCTTATTTTACATATCAATCCCAGTTCGCTCTCCCTCCCATCCTCCCATGCTCCCAACCAACCTTCCATCCCATCCCCCTTCTGCGCCCCAGAGAGGGTGGAGCCTTCCATGGGGTATCATCAACGTCTGTCATATCATTTGGAGCAGGGCCTAGGGCCTCCCCTGTGTTTCTAGGCTGAGAGAGTATCTCTCTATGGGGGAATGGGCTCCCAAAGTCCATTCGTACACTTGGAATAAATACTGATCCACTACCAGAGGCCCCATAGACTGCCCAGGCCTCCTAACTGATACCCACATTCAGGGGGCCTTTTTAAAAAATATATTTTATTTATTTATTTATTTATTGAGACAGGATTTCTCTTTGTACCCTTGACTGTCGAATTCACTCTGTAGATCAGGTTGTTCTCAAACTCATAGAGATTCACCCGCCTCTGCTTCTCAGATGTTGGGACTAAAGTCATGCACCACCACCCAGCTTTATGTTTTATTATTTTTATTTATTTATGTATATGTGTATCTGTCTGCATATGAGTAGGGACAGAGGGATGTCAGAGCCCCTGAAGCTGGAGTTACTGGCAGTTGTGAGCTGCCAGATGTGTGTACTGGAAGTAGAGTTCAGATCCTCGGTAAGAACAATACTCTCTTAACCACTGAACCATCTCTCTAGGCCAGGTGCCAAACATTCTTGATTGATAGCATAATGATAAACATCCCGGCTCTTGATTTCTGAGTCACAGAAACCAGCCCTGGAGGCTTTGTTGTGTGATGACAGCCTCTGTCCCTGAATCATTGTCAATCAGTGTCTCTCCTTTGCAGAAGAAATTATCCCAACTAAAATAGTAACAAAGAGTTGTGCAGAGGTGGTGCATACCGGGGACAGAGGCAGGCGGATCTCTGAATTCAAGGCCAGCCAAGCCTACAGAGTGAATTCCAGGACAGTCAAGGCTACACAGAGAAACCCTGTCTCATAAAACAATATGATAAAAATAAAATTAATTACAAAACAAAGCAAAGATAGTTTCTGTAGTGCTTCTGTGTGTTTGTGTGTGAGTGCACTAAGGAGTGTGTGTGTGTGTGTGTGTGTGTGTGTGTGTGTGTGTGTGTGTGTGTGGTAAATAAGGAGTGTATCTGTGTGTGTGTGTGTGTATGCACTATGAGTGCATCTGTGTGAGAGTGCACTATGAGTGTATCTGTGTGTGTGTGTGTGTGTGTGTGTGTGTGTGTGTGTGTACCGGGGAGTACTTCTGTTACATCTCAGATGATTCAGTGAATGATCACCTCTAATCCATCAGGTCTCAGATTTATGGATCTCATGAAGAATTGATACTGAGACAAATTAAGAGGCAAATACAAGGTGTCAGTCGGTCCTCAAAGTCGTGATTAAGCCCTGTAGTTTCTGTGTCTCTACCTTTCAAATCCCAGGGGCATTAGCTGGTCAGTCTATAAATTTGATCCATCTATTCCTTTCTAATCTAGACACACCCACCGCCAATCATCCGAGGTAAAATTCCTTGGATGCAGAGGTTCCTGAGCACCGTTACTGGAAGAATGGAGAATGGGGAGAGGGAAGCAGGAAAGAGCAGGAAAACGTGTTAAGCAGGATGTAATCTCTCCCAGGGACTAGCTTCAGTTCTGAAAGAGGTAGAGCTCTGGGGCACTGTACTTGAGCTGGTCCCATCTTTTATCCTGCTATGATGGTCAGTCATTGGTTACCAACTGCCTGGAGTGAGGGAGGGGGCTGGAGAGGGACGTGAATAGTCATAGCAGCTGGGAGCAAATGTTCCCAGTTAAGGGGATCAAAAAAAAAAAAAAAAAAAACGTCATCAGCTGCCGCATTTAAGTCTAGTAATGCCCCAAATCTTGCATAACTCTGTGTTATCTAGGCCATCTCCCCCTACCCCACCCGCCTTCTCTCTTGAAGCAAGGTTCTTCTATGTATGTAGCTAAAGCTGACCTTGAACTCATGAACATCTATCCTCAGACTCTGAGTGCTAGGATAAAACGCATCATCATTGTGCCTGGGTTCACCCACTCCATTCTTTTCTGGGACATCTCCAGAAAAGGACTTACTCCTCTTCACGCATACTGGTCACCTCAAAATTCCGGAATTTCCCAGCATGCTTTGGCTGCAGATCATTTGTGCTTTTTTGTTCCCTCACCTGGCATGACTTCCCCTCCAGACACCTTCATAAAAAGACTTGCTCTGGCTGGCTATGGTGGCACACATCTTTAAATGTAGCACTTGGAGAGAAGCTGCTGTTGCCAATAAAGGGCCACTTCCCAACCCCGGTGCAGTACTTGGGGCTGATACCCAAGGACTGGGTGAAGGTCATGACTGTGAACTACAACAGGCACAGGGAGCTGGGAGAAGGTGCCAGATTCTGAGGAGCAGGTGCTGGTAGTTGTGGAGACCAAGAGTCAAAAAGAGATCATGGAGCACGTAAAGAAAATTTGGGGCAAGAAAGAGGAGACCCTGAGGGAGGAGGAGCTGGAGAAGCAGCAGCAATCTCATTCAGCCAGCCTTGCTCCCCCACCCTCCTTAGTACTGCTTGCAGGAATGCCCCGTGGGAAGTGGAAGGTCAGGTACGCTGCCCTGGCCTGGTGCCTGCTCTGAAAGCTAGCACTTAGGTCTGAGGAAGATCATTGGGATGGACTGATGGAGCTCTGCAATGGAAAGGCCTGATAGCACGCCCATTTAAAGGACATAGGGAGAAGGCCAGGGTCACCAGCTGCTGAACAGATGTCCATAAAAGATTTAGTCTTCCTGTTTAAAAAACAAAAAACAAAAAGCAAAACAACAACAACAAAAAATAGCACTTGAGACACTGAGGCAGGGAAATAGAATTTGAAGGTTAGCCTTAGAGCTATATAGTGAGTTTGAGGCAAAGGCTGTCTCACAGAATAAAATAAGACTTTTTTTTTACTGTCATATCTAAAATGACAATTTCACTTCCAGCTGAAACTTGAAAACTCTACTTAATCCTTATATCTAATTTTATTTGTCTTGTTATCTAGTCTAAATAATATTTGTATTATCTAAAATACAAGCCGAGGATCACTCAAAACAGTGGCTGGTAGGCTGAAGGCACTCTGTGAGTATTTGCTGCATGCATACATGCATGAATGATTCCTGGCAGGAAGTGTAAATCCTCAGTAAGCACTGAACTGAACCAGAAAAGCATGTACCCTCCCTTATATAACAAACAGGGAAAGGGCAGAGCTCTCCAGAGCCTTGCTCTTCCTTCAGTAATATTACAAAGCTTGGTCTCTTTGTGAGAGGATGTATGCATGGAGGTTAATGTGTAATATATGTACTTCTATATGTACATTGTAAGAATAGAAACTCCAGGCCTGGTGAGATTGCGGCTCACACCTATAAGCCCAATACCCAGCAAGGCTGCCAGCCTAGGCTAAGTAGTGAGCTCTAGGTCAGCCTGGGTCATAGATATCGTTATCCTAACCACAAGTCTCCCTCCCCCAACAATAAGAAAGAATAGAAACACTTAAGATATTCTAATTTTATTTAAATGAGTTCACATCAAACTCAATAGTCCAGTCTTACACATAACAAAGAGAAAGGCAGAGCAGAAGTCAAAGAGATACAGGTTGCACAGATAACTCAATTTCTAAAAAGGAAAATTTAAACCCAAAGTTAATCCTGTTTAAGCTCTTTACACAGCCTGATCTTAGAGGGTAGAAAACTATTAAGACATGTAAAATATCAAACCCCACCCAAACATCTATTAGTAAAAGCCAAATTCTTTAAGGTATATTAAATTCTAGAAAGAAGGTCTAAGGCTGCTAAAAATACAAAAGCAACTATGGAATTTTACAGATCAGCCTTGGGGTGAGGCTGCTTCTGCTGTGACCTCGGTTTCTTACTGTGAATCACACTGGGCAGAGGGTTCTGAGCCCAAGGGAGGGCTTTCTTCTAGTTCAGCACTCTCTTCGCAGCTCTGCTTCCCATCGGTATCCTCGGTGCTGACATCAGCCTGGTCCTGAGCTGAGCTCTCTGCCTCTGCAGTGGCTTCAGGAGCTGTGCTCTCCACCTCTGTAGTGGGTTCAGGACCTGCGCTGGCCACCTCTTCAGTGGGTTCAGGAGCTGCGCACTCCACCTCTGCAGTAGATTCAAGAGCCGAGTTCTCCACCTCTGTAGTGGGTTCAGGGACTCCCTCAGTGGTCTCCCACGGGCAAGTCTCGGTGATCTTCAGCTCAGGCTCCTCCCTCAATATGGACGTCTCCACTAGGGCATCCTCGCCAGGGATCAGGGAGGCCCCTGAGGCAGGAGACTCTTCTGGAGGCCCAGCTGCCAACTCTGGGACTTCTTCAGCATATACCAATTCAATTTCCTTTTCAGAAATTTCTCCAACTCCTGAACGTGCTTTCCCAGCTTCTGCCACATTCTCCTTTTCGCCTTTAGGATGTGGTTCATTAAGCAAAGTATTAATTGGAAGAACATGGGAATAGAGTGGAATAATGCAATCAGTTTATTTTATTTAAATTCAGGAGAAGGGGACATTTTTTGAGACAACATTTAAAAACAGCCTTGCTTAGTCATGAATCTGCCATGTAACCTGGGATGACCTTCAACTCCTGATCCTCCTGCTCCATTTTCCAAGTATTGTGATTATCTTTATCCTCCCAAGCCATCCTGCTGGCTCTAATACTGTTTCCTAGTACCAAAATAAAAAATTAAAACTGAATGCCCGGCCTTGTGGTGCACACTTGTCAGTTCCAGCACTCCAGAGGTGGCGGCAGGTAGATTTTTGTGAGTTCAGGGCCAGCCTGACCTACATAGTGAAAGTCTGTCTCAAAAGAACCAAACCAAACCAAACCAAACCAAAAATCCACACTACCACAACAACAACAACAAAAAAACCCTCAAACCAAACCCAAACAACCTCTCCCCCGAAACAAAACAAATAAAACCACAAAGCAAAACCTGACTCCTGAGCTGCTAATAACTCTGTTCCTAAATAGTAGTGACCACAGTAATTGATAGTAACGTCATAGTCTAGATAGAAAAAAAAAAAACGTATAATTTAAAGTAATTAGCTTGGCGCTGGAGAGATGGCTCAGTGTTAAGAGCTCGGGGGTGGGGGGAAGAGGTGGCTGCTCTTACAGAGAACTAGGGTTTGTTGCCCTGCACCCACATGGTGGCTCACAAACATCCGTAATTCGGCTCTGGGGGTTCTCTCTTCTGACCTCTTCGGGGAGAGGGGGAGGGATGCAGAAGGGACAGGACAGGACACTATGACAACTGGGTATATGATATGTAGCATACATATCTCCATGCAGGCAAAACACACACACACACACACACACACACACACACACACACGCATACATAAAATAAAAATGAATCGTTAAAAATTTAAAAAATTTAAAGTAAGCTGTTTGAGGCAAGAAATGGATGTTAGGGTAAAACTGTAAAGTTTCTGTTCCCACGGTGGCCATTTTCCAGGCTCAGGGGCTCAGGAATGATTCAACTCATGTAAAGCATACTTTGAGAAAGACACATGGATGGTGCTGGCCAAAACCAGAAAAAAAAAAAAAAAGCTTATAATTTAAAACAATATGGGGGGAGTGAAACGTCAAACTGCTGAGACAGATGCTAAAATTATGCTTGCATGAATGGGTGTCTGGTAGTAGAAATAATATTACCATACAGAAGAATGGAAACTGCCTCTCAGCAAGCAGAATACAGAGAAACTCGCTCATTTACCAAATGCACTCATCCATAGCTAGTAACTCTAGGGGACTGTGATCTTCCTTCCTGAGTGAATCCCTACACATAGCAACTCTTGATTAAGTTACTAAAGAAATGAAAGAAAGAATCAAGTGGTGGTTCATATCTGTAATCCTAGGTCAAGAAGTGGAGGCAGGAGTATCACAAGTTCTTGGGATTCATGAGACCTGTTTCTAATAAGTAAACAATAAGAAGTTCACTTTACCTGCAAGTGGCTGTAACCCTGGTTTTGTCTGTTCTCTCACATCTGTGACACGTTCTGTATGTCTGACTTGCTTTGATGTGACAGCCTTGTAAGTCTGAAAGAAAATGTGTGCTTAGCTTTCTTTCTCCCTCTCTAAGATTCATCATATTCAATTCCCTATGCAACCACCATTAGAAGTTTCAAGAACAATTTCAGTATCGCACAGAAGAGAAATCAATGCCTGCTCACCACTTAAACCAACCCCCTCTTTTGGAGACAAACCTGTCTCCATAAGGGTCCTTTGCTGGTCTGGAACTTGGAATGCAAACCAGAATGACCTTGGACTCAGAGCATTGGATTAAAGCTGTGAGCTAGCAAGCCAGGCACATGAATTCTTTAATAGGTCTTTAAGCACTTACATAATATCCACCAGCACTGACTGTCACACCTACAACCAGGTAATAAATCATATTGGACCCAGATGTTCCAGGGAATTTGCTGGATGACACTCGACGAAGAGATGCTAGGAAAACAAATTTTAAATATGGTTACCTTCACCACATAAGTATGGGCGTCTTCAGTAATTACAGTTTTTGGCATTTTTTTCCTTAGTGAACTTGGAACCTATTAACACAGTGGATTTTCACTTTAGGGAACACAGCATTAGAGGTGGGGGTAGTAATTTCATCCAAACAGCCTCTAGTCTATTTGAGGAAAGATTTCGAAGCCTGCCATCTTGATATTAAACATCAGTATGGGAAGATGCAGATGAGGAGACATGATAGAGAAACTAAACAAGCTTAGTGGCCAAATGAAATGCAAAAGAAATACAGTCTCCCATATATATCCCAAACAGACATGAGTAGAAGTAATTATTTTCCTTTTTTCCTGTTCTTTCTTCAGCTGTCCACTTGAGAAAGAAGGAAATGATTGCTTTAAAAAGTTAATTAAGTACACTTATACCTAAAGATAAAGCTTGCACTTAATGATGGGTGGAACACATGCTTAGAATGCACTCGACCCTAAGGCTTGTCCAGAAAAGATCTCACTTCTTGGCTGAAGCCAGTCAAACTCTCTTGTCTCAGCCCCCTGAACACAGGGATCACAGCCACATGGCTGGTTTGCAGTGAGACTTTCTTTGGCTTAAAAACAAATCTGTGATCTGGATGTGCATGCCCTGAGCCCACCTGCTGAGGACAGTGTGGCGGGGGATGTCTAGAATCTGCCTCTACCCCATAATGAAAGTTCACTTTTTCTTAAGTTTAATTTAGCATGTGTGTAGAGGTCAGATGACAACTCCTGGGAGTTATTTTTCTCTTTCTGTGTGGATCCTGGAGATAAGATTCCAGGTCATCAGGTTTGATAATGAGCACCTGTACCTACTGAGCCAACTTACTGACCCAAATCTCATTGCTAAAAGAAACAACCCCCCCAAGCCCCACCACACATATGGTAGATCATGTGTCTAATATGCAGGAGGCCTGAGTTCCATCCCCAGAACCAAAAATAAATAAATAAATAAAATAAAACCAAACCAAACCAAAACAAAACACCTTACAACTTTCGAGCCACCATGTGGCTGCTGGGAATTGAACTCAGGATCTCTGAAAGAACAGCCAGTGCTCTTAACCTCTGAACCATCTCTCCAGCCCACCTCACAACTCTTGACACTTGTTTCTTATTTGTTCCAGGATTTTTTTTTTTTTTTTAATACTAGGAGTCAAACCCAGGGGTTCTTGCTTGCTGGGTAAGCTATTTCGCATGTACTCCAGACAGATCTTATTAAGTAGGGAGAAATAAAATTATCAGTAATGGGATGTGGTGGCCCATGCCTTTAATCCCAGCATTTGGGAGGCAGAGGCAGGCAGATCTCTGAGTTCAAGGCCAGCCTAGCCTACAGAGGGACTTCCAGGTTAGTCAGAGCTACACAGAGAAAAACCTGTCTTGAAAAAACAAAGAAAACATCAGCAATACAAGTAGACTTAAAACTGTTTCATCTGAGTTATTTAAAATAGTGATAAGAGAACTTTCCAATAGGAATTAATTAAACATATTTTAGTAGACTTATACAATGTACAGACTAGGATTTGCTTATATGCGAAAAATTTTATTTTTTTTTAGATTTATTATTTTATGTGCATGAGTGTTTTGCCTCCATGTATGTATATGCACCATGTGTATGCCTGATGTCCTCGAAGGTCAAGGTGGGCTTCATGTTCCCTGGTAACTAGAGTTACAGATTGTTTCAAGACATCTTGTGGATACTGGGAATTGAATCCAGATCCTCTGTAATAACAAGTCCTCTGGATTGCTGAGACAGCTCTTCAAACTACAAGAAAATTCTGTCATACATTATGTGAAAATCCATAGCAATATACCCTGTGGCAGATCTTAGATCTAAGAAGAAAAAGATCTTCAGTTGTTGCATGTGCTGACTCACACCTTAGTGTCAGTACTTGGGAAGGTGAGGCAGGGGGATTGTTTCATAGCAGTCTGGGTATCTAGACCTTGTTTCTATAAAGCAAAAACAACACAAATCTCTAAAACCAAGTAGATTAACCATAAACAATGATATTTACTGAATGGAAGAATTAGAAGTGATTTATATATTATATTTGGTCTTCCTGGTATTTTCCCAATGAACTAGTCTAAGCCTAAGCTATTCATTAAAAAGCTAAATTTTTGAAAAGCCAAAAAAGTTACATTTTGCAGCAAAAAGCATAATCAAACTTAATGATAGTTAAAACGTGTCTTTCAACAACAACAACAACAACAACAACAACAACAACAACACACTGAAACAAAGCTATTTTTTACCAAAGTAGGAAATACTAATAAAACATTAATCAATGCCCACAAAGGAAGACACGTTTAAGATTCCAGTCAATGCCAGATTGGTGGTGCACGCCTTTAATCCCAGCACTGGGAAGCAGAGGCAAGAGAATCTCTGAGTTTGAGGCCAGCCTGGTCTACAGAGTGAGTTCCAAGGCAACTAGGGCAACACAGAGAAACCTTGTCTCAAAAATAGGTAGATACAAAAATGAATGAACAAATAAAAGTAGTGATTATGGCTGTGGCTGTAGCTCAGCACTCAGTAGAAGCAAATTTGCCTAGTAAAGTGATGGGCCTTAGATTCAGTTCTTAGTACCATAAAAAATGAAAGCAATTAAGTGAAATTAGATCAGTACCCTTGCACCCAGGACTTCTAACGCAAGTTTAGAATGTTAACACTGCCATTAATTTGATGGAGAATGGGGGGATAGGGGATTAAAAAGGTGTGGTGCAGATGACAGGACTCTGTGGGTATAGGTGTCTGCAGCCAAGCCTGAAGACCTAGTTCAGTCCCTGAGACCCACTGACTCTTGCAAGCTGTCCTCTGAACACATGCAGGCTTTGGTGAGTGTGTGTGGTGTGTGTGTGTGTGTGTGTGTGTGTGTGTGTGTGTGTGTGTGTGTGTGTGTGTGGTCAGTTGACTCATCTTTCTCCTTCTCTGAATATCAGAACAGCCCCATCAACTTTAGCTTAAACTAAACAGCTTCTTCCTACCTCATCAGTGATGAAAATGGCTATCTTACGAGGTATACAGAGAGGGGAAGTCATCTTAATACGTGTGTGAAGACTTCTTTCAAGTAGCATTTAAAAGAACAGGTGGATAGATATCTCCCTCTCATCCTCCACCATCAACACAGGCCTAATCAAAGCTGGGGAGACAAGTGGACAAACCAAACCAGAACAAAACCAAAAAAAACAAAAATCAAACCAAAACAACAACAACAAGAAACCCTGTGGCTCATGAAATTTTTTCTATCTCTCGCTTAAATCCTCGCTCTGGATGCTGCCTCGGATGCCTCAGGGAGTTGGGTGAAGCACAGCAAGAATTAACTTTCTGTGCCTCAGTCAGTGATGGACAAGGGGTGGGGGTGGGGTGGGGGCTGAGGACTGGAACTGACTCTGAGAGGAACTGCAAACAGTTCCAGATCCACGGGTGCGACACTTATTAAGCACCTACTCTGTTCCAGGAGGCATTACTCGGTGCTTTCCTCTTTTGAAAATTTCCACGAGCCCTTCCTCATGAATTCCCTAATCCAAAGTTGATGAAGCTGTGAGCTTCTCAGCAACGCCAGAACAATGACCCGAGGCCACCCACTTCGGAGGGATGCTCAGGACTGGGAGATCCCAGTGTTCAGCACCACCTGTGTTCACTGCACCCAGACTGCGCCTGGAGCCCACTTGCTAGCGTGTGGACACCTGGTGTCCACAGGTTTCTTTACCTCCTCCGGGAGCCTAGAGATTCATTGAATAGTCAACGTGGGAATCTAGGAGTGAGTCAGACCCTCTTCAAAGTGATTTTTCACTTTACAACTATTAATTACAACTCACAGCCACTGTGGTGCTCTCTTAAAAAATGAAGAAACCTTACTTGACAGAGATAAGACTGGAACCCAGGAAGGCTAATTTGGATTCAGAGGCCAACCTGGAAAAGTTCCCTATTTCCAAAGTTTCCAAGGACTTCGGAGCGCTTGCCTGAGACCCTCCCTCACTGTTCTTCACCCTGGCTCAGGCGTCTGAGACTGGGTGCTGGCGGGTTCGGGGTGCTGGTTCCAGCCTGGACCCACAGAGATATGCAGGGCACTCACCGTCCTTCCCCAGTGGCGTAGGGCAGGGGGGCGCCCTCAGGGGCAGCGCCAGAGTCTTGGATACAGCCCTGCGGAGATACATCGCCCGACGTGCAGGGATGCAGCGGCGGAGCAAGCAACTCAATCTCAGGGGGTAGAGCCTCAGGAGTGCCCCGCCCTGGGGTGGAGCTCTAGATCCCGTGCCTCTCCGACCGGCGGCACGTGGGAGGGGGTTCTCGGTTAGTCGCCAGCACCTTGGTCTCCTAATCCTGCTTTAGTAGTGCTGCTTTCCCGCGCCTCCAGCAACCACCTCCCGGCAGCCGCTTAAGGGCTGTATCTCGGAAGAGGGAGAGGGAATTTAGAAGTAATTGTTACGTGCATGACCCGCTCTGTTCCATGGAGTAACTCTCCTTCAGAACACGCTGGGCATATTTAGGAAATCGCACCAGATTCAGTATTCAGACACGGTTTATCCTCCAGGTGGAAAGCCATTTCATCCCACCCTTTTCTAGGATAAGGTAGCGGGAAACTTTACAGGTGACAGGCTTATGCCTAAAGACAGCGTAAGGTTTCCCCCTGGCGACGGCTGAGTTCTAAACTAACTATGGTTTCCAAGACCTTAAATACAAGGTAAAGTGCTTACCTAGCGTGAGATCGATACCCAGCAGTGTGTAAAACCAAGCAAGCTGGCTCAATTGAGCAGATAATCCCAGCACTCGGGGGGAGGGGGGCAGGAGGATCGGAAGTTCAAGATCTTTGGCAACATAAATTTACGGACGCCGTGGGCTATATGAGACCCTGTCTCAAACGAACAAACAAATCACTAAGGGTATTAGTTGGGGGGAAAAAAATAAAACAAAACCTCTAATTAGGTAAAGGTTACTCTGCAGTAGCAAGAGCTTTTAAACACCAAGCCATCTCTCCAGTCAGAGTTTTGAATCTTAGTTTTTCGAGACAGGGTCTCTCTGTGTAGCTCTGGCTGTCCTGGAACTCGTTCTATAGACCAGGCTGGCCTCAAACTCAAGAGATCCACCTGCCTCTGCCTGGAATGAAAGGTGCAAGCCACAACCATCGGGTCAGAGTTGTAAATCTTGCAGGACCGAGTGAAGTAACTGACGACCTCTGAAGCACAGTGGACGTGAAATGTGCTCAGCCAGATGGGAGAGGCAGTGTGGGCCTCAAGCTCACGATTCCTCCACACCCTTTCAGTCTGGTGTATGACAATATTGGTTATATCTGCCTCACCTGGCCATCCCAAATGCCAGTAGGCTATATCTCAGGGCAAAGGGGGTTTGGTGGGTTCTTTTCCTATTTTAATGAGTTAGTTTCAAAAAACAGAACAAAAATTCAAAAACCCCATGCCCTTTGGTTATCAAAAGTGCTAAATTTCTAGCTGCTTCCTCAGAACCACAGCGCAGCATTTTAACGTTAGTTCTTGCTTTAGCTGACTGAAGGCTCAAACATTTCCCTGAGGCTCGGCTTCTTCACTGCCCTTGAGAGAAGCCTTGACATTTTTCTGGTCTGTTTAGGAAAACATCTAGGGTCAGAGATGATTGGCTTAGCTCAGATGACCTCCAGCAAATCTTTGCTTGCTGGAAAAGATACTAATTTTGAAAATATTGTAAGGGTTCAGTGCCAACAATAGTTATTATTTCATGGCTTATGTACAGGGTTGATTTTAAAGTATTTCAGCACCCTGTGTGAAGGTTCACACTTTTAATTCCAGCACTTGGGAGGTAGAGGTTAGACATTTTCCTGTGAGTTCAAGGCCGGCCTGGTCTAGATGCTACATACCGAGAGCCTCTGTCTCAAAAAGAAAAAAAAAATGTTTTTTTTTTTTTGAAAAAATGACAGCCAGGAAGATGGGAAAGTAGCTGGCAATCCTGAACTCACATGGTGTAAGGAAAAGAACTGACTCTTGGAGGTTGTCTTCTCATCTCCACATGCCCAGCTATGGCATGCACCCAAACATATATCCTCACACCTAAATAAATGTACTTCAAAAAAATCATTTCTCAAACAATACAGAATGCTGGAAACGGGTTGGAGAGATGGCTTAGTGGATAACAGTGCTTGTTGCTCTTCCAGAGGACTAGAGGGTGGTTCCCAGAACCCCCTCTTTAACTCCTGAACACATACACACACAGAGAAACACATAAACATAAAAGAAAGCTAGAAACAATTGAAAAGATTTTTGGAAGGAGGGAAAGGATTTTGTTTTTTGAGACCAGGTATCTGAAACCACAGTATGGATGGAACCATGCCAGGTTTGCTAGTTTCTGTTCTCCAGTAACCTTTGGCTTGAAGATACCCATTATCATCACAGGTGGATCTGTGAGTGCAAGGGCAGCCTGTTTTATATAGGAGTCTCTGGCCAGCCGGAGCTACACAGTAAGATTCTGTGCCAAATTTTTTTTCTCAAAAAATCCTTTGATCTAAGTCCTTTTTTAAAAGATTTTTTTAAATTTATTATGCATACAACATTCTGCTTCCATGTTTATCTGCATACCAGAAAGGGCACCAGATCTCATAACAGATGGTTGTGAGCCACCATGTGGTTGCGGGGAACTGAACTCAGGACCTCTGGAAGAGCAGCCAGTGCTCTTAACCTCTGAGCCATCTCTCCAGCCCTTGATCTAAGTTCTTTTGGGAATTTAGGATTAGAATGATTCTTGCTTCATGTGTCAGCTCTTGATTTGAGGTGAAAACCCTGGACTATTTGCTTTTCCTTATCATGTGGGTGGGGGTGGGAGGCAGGGGGAACGCTGAGGAGTGATGTCCACACATAGTTAGCATAGCTAATACTAAGAGTCTTTTTTTTTTTTCTTTCTGAGGCACGGGGTCTCACTGGCCTCAAGTTCACAATCCTCTTACATCAGTGTGCTGACAGTGGGCTTACAGCGTTTCCTGTTATGGTAGAAGTTCTACCCCCACAGCCCGGGTTATCAGGAAGGGCTCTCTCTAGAGTTAAAACGGATACAAAGTACCTGCAGCCTCAAAGCCTGACATGTGCAGATTCTATTTATTAAAAGTATGCTTGGCTGGAGAGATCGCTCAGTGGTTAAGAGCATTGGCTGTTCTTCTAGAAGTCCTGAGTTCAATTCCCAGCACCCACATGGTGGCTCACAACCACCTATAAAGGGATCTGATCCCCTCTTCTATCATGCAGATGTACAGGAAGAGAGAAAACTCTTATAAATAAATCTTTTTTTTTTTTTTTAAGTATGCTTTAAGTGGCTGGAGAGATGGCTCAGTGGTTAAGAGCATTGCTGCTCTTCCAGAAGACCCAGGTTCAATTTCCAGCACCCACATGGCAGATTAAACTGTAACTCCAGTTCCAGGGGATCAAACACCCTCAAAGACATACATAAAGGCAAAATACCAATGCACATATAAAATAAATAAATCTTTTTAAAAAATGCTCTTTCCAACTAAAACCTTCTGCTTCCAAAATTGCAGGCATCTTAATGTTTTCTGAGCTTTTAAGTGCTTTGCATGTGTGTGTGAAAAGTGCTATTAATTTGGAGTTAACTGACTTTTTGGCCTCAATTTTTATGTGATAGCACCAGTTTCCTATAGGTGCGCTAGCAAATGAAGCAACCTGAAACAGCATGCACTTATTAACTCGAAGCTTTATGGGTGTGTCTCACTGGCCTTATATCAATGGGAGCACTCACTTTTTTCTTGATATTCTTTAGCTCTTAACCTCCCTCTACCATCAAACCCAGAAATGGTGGAGATGGAGCTAAGGGGTGCTTGTATGGTAGGTGCACGGCCCTAGATTTGTCACTCATATACTATAGCAAACACCCCAGCAATAGCAGGTTAGACTTTATATAGCCATTTGTAAAGATCTGTGTGATGACTCCTGGATATCCCACGTAATTACATCTCAAGGTTGACCTACTGGCGACTCTAATTCCACCTGCCATTTTAACTCCTCTTGGTCACAGAGTCTAACATTTACACATGTTCTAGGGAGGACTTGACTTTGTTGGACTTCCTTCCTGACAGATTGCTCTTCTCTGTTACTGCATTTGCATGAACTTGATTTACAATCTGCCAAGTTTTTCCCTCCAACAGGAATCCAAACTGACACACACAAGCTAAGTTACTATTAACTTTGACTTTTCATGGCATCTGTGTATTTTCAAATACTATAATTTTGAATTTTTGTACATAAGTGACATCAAAAGACACTAGGCCATGCTTTTTCCAGCCCCTAAACACATGCAATGCCAACTATAATGGTCTTCACAGCAGAAATTATTTAAAGCCATTATCTCTTTCTCCTTTTATCATTTTTTAAAGATTTTATTTATTATGTACACAACATTCTGCTTCCACATACATCTGCACACCAGAAGAGGGCACCATAGCCCATTACAGATGGTTGTGAGCCACCATGTGGGTGCTGGGAATTGAACTCAGTACCTCTGGAAGAGGAGCCAGTCAGTGCTCTTAACCTCTGAGCCATCTCTCCAGCCCTCCTTTTATCATTTTTATGATACTTGTGATTAAACCCAGGGCTTCACGAATGCTAGCCAAGGGTTTTATTACTGTGCTATGTCTTCAGCTTTTTGAGACAGGACCTTGTTATGTAGTCCTGGCTAGTTTCAAGGTCACCATGTAGTGCCCCCCACCTTTACTCATTTTTAGTTTACTGCTAACTATGTGTGTTGTGCTCAGTGGACAATCTTGTCAACTCTTTTCTACCTTTTTGAGAAGTCTAGAGATCATACTCTGGTTGTCAGGCCGGCAAGTGCTTTTCTCACTGACAATTTTGCCAGCTTAGTCCCCTTCTTAAAAAACCTAGTTCGCTGTAACTTGACTGAAAGCCAATGGAAAACTTCATGTGGCCATAAAAGTGAGTAGAAAGTCACTATGGGGTTAGATGGCTTGCATGTTAGGAGCACTCGCTGTTCTTGTGGAGGACTGGGGTTTGGTTCCTAGCACCCACACGGAGACTCACAAACATCTGTAAATCCAGTTTCAGAGGATTTGATGCCTTCTTCTGACCTTCCAGGGCACCAAGAATGGATATTGTGTGCACACACATGTAGGCAAGCACTCCTCATTGACATTAAAACAAACACCGTTATGTCAACAAAAAACAATTCAAATTCAAGCAAATGGAGACAGAGGCAACTCTGATAACAGGGTTTATCTTTACTGTCTGATTTATCCCCTCTTCATCAACAAGATTTATATTTTAAGTAATAAAGTAGTCTTGTCTCTTTGGCATCTAAATGTTTTGATAAGAGATGAGGAGGGCTGGCCACAGTGGTGTTTTCAGGAGGCAGGTGGGTCTAGGTCAGTTCAAGACCAGTTTGGACTACACAGTGAGTTCTAGAACAGCTAGAGAACTTCAGTGAGACGTTGTCTCAAAAAGAAAGAAAAGCTGATGAGAGGGGTTCAGCAGTTAGAAGCACTTGGTGCTTTTGCAGAGGACCCAAGTTTGGTTCCCAATATCCTTGTCAACCACCCATAGCTCCAGCTTAGGCTTCTATGAGCACTGAATGTACATGGTACACATACATATATACAAACACTCACACAAACGCTGAACAGAGCCCATTAGCAGTGATTATGGAATTCATCTCTACATGTGGAGAACCTAAGTATTTTTATTTGTTTAATAATGAAAAATGCACATGTGAACTTGACTGATACATATTCACATATAACTTTCCCCTCATATCCAAACTTGACAGATTGGTGAATCCAGAAGAATGGCCACAATCATCATATGCAGCAGACCTACAAGGAAGAAGAGGAGGAAGAAGGAGGAGGAGGAGGAGGAAGAGGTGGAGGAGGAGGAGGAGGAAGAGAAAAAAAATCAATCCAAAGCAATGATCAGATAATGTTGAAACTGAATTTCTCTGAATAATTCACCTTAGAGCATCAGAAAAAAATCTAGAAAATATATCTATTAAATACAATCAGTACTTGAGATTACTATGTTTATTATCCAGCAGATTTAACCATGGAAACTGAGATATTTTGTGTGTGGTATGCATGCACCTGCATGTAAAGGCCTAAGGCTGATGCTCAGAGTCCTCACCAATGGCTTTCCACTTTATTAATCAAGGTAGGGCTTCTCAATTGATCCCTGAGCTGACCAGTGGCTAATCAGCCATCTTACTCTGGGGATCCTCTGTTCTCCTTCAGAGTTTTGAAATCACAAGTGGCCAGGGCTATGAGGATCTGAGCTCTGCCCCTCATGGTGTGGCAGCTGCTGTAATTACAGAGCTATCTCCTCAACCCAAAAGCTTAGGTTTTTTTTTGTTTTTTGGGTTTTTTTTTTTGATGGATTTTTCACTTTATAAAGGGTAAAGCATTTCTTTCAAATAATTTTCAGAAATAAAGCATAAACATTCCATATATTTGTGTAATATACATATTATACATGTTATGTTTATGACACATGCCCCTTCCCCATCTCTCTTTTAAATTAGAGCATGTAAAATATGTTATTTCATTAATATTAGGTTTCACCTGAATTCTTCAATTGGATGCTAGTTATAGTGAGAATCATAATGAAATAGTTAAGCAGAAAAAAACTCCAGAATTCATTGCCTTTATACTTGATTTGTTCTATGAACATTAAACTCCTAGAATGGCTGGGTAGGTATTCAGCGCAGTGTTGAGAACAAAACATTAATACAATACAGGAGAGTTCGGCTGTTACAGAATCCACACTTAAGTATAAGACATGGCAAATACACACAAATTATGCCAATTTATCCTAAGTGCTATGAATACAATGTGTAAAGTACTAGTAAAGAAGGTATGATTTAAGATGATTTTGGTTTTACTGTTGTTTTTCCTTCTTTGTTTGGGACCAGGTCTCACTGTGCAGACCAGGTTAGCCTCAGGCTAATTATCTCCTTGCTACAGTCTCTGCAGTATTAGAATTATAGGTATGTATGACCTCATCCAGTACTAAAGTTATTCTACAGGCCAGGAGTATTGGCATACTCCTTGAATCTCAGCAGTTAGGAGGCAGAGGTTGGGGCAGGTGGACCCTGGTCTACATAGAGAGCTGAATGATATAGGGTAAGACCCCCATCTCTCTCACTTTTTGGAGACAAGGTCTCTCACTTAGCCCTGGCTGTCCTAGAACTCACTATGTAGACCAGGCTGGCCTCACAGAGATCTGTCTACCTCTCTGCCTCCCTAGCGCTGGCACTAAAAAAGGCATATGTTATTATGCCCAGTGGTGAGACTCTGTCACAGCTACAAACAGATAAATTAACTTCTATAATCTATATACTCTATAAGCATACTTACTATATTAATATCTCCAAAGTTTATTCCAATCCATTTCTTCTTTTATACTCCAAAACATCTTCATCATGTTGTTTGATGAGCTACAAGTTAATAGTTAAAACCAGAATTGTAATCTTCCTGGCAGCTTAAAGAGGAGGAAACCAACTAAAGATCCTTGTTTCATAAGAGAAATAGGGTAGGTTAAAACAGTTACTATTTTACTAGAAATAAAAGCCTAAGACATTCAAGAATCATTAGTAGAGTACATTGTTAACCACAACCTGACATTACATTTGAGAATGATACAATGGAAAACATATGATGACAGAAGAATCATAAAACATGACACTTTTTGTGTACCTGTGTGTGCAATGTCTATATATAGGTATGCTTGCCTGTGCATGCTCACATATCCTTCTGTGCATGCTATATTCCAATCTTAGAAGTCTGACAGTGTGAATGATCAACCCAATCCCTCACTTCTCTGTGTGCTATTAGAAATCAAAGAACAGCTACTTTTTTGGAACCACCATAACTTCAACAACGATTGATACATGATGACAGTCAAGGGAATTAAAGACCTAATTTCAATCCTTAATGCTCTTGGCAACAATTAAACCTCCCAAAAAATTTTCAAAAATGAATATAAAGTTGGGGCTGTACAGTTAAGAGCATGTACTGCTCTCGGAGGACCCAAGTTTGGTTCCCAAGACCAACAACAGCCAGCTCACAAGTGTTTGTAATTCCAGCTCCAGAGAATCCGATGGGTAGGGTACTCACATAAACCCACAGGAAAATTGTAGTGCCCAAGGTCAGCCCAACTTCCAGCCAGTTAGGTTTGGCATTGGGCGGCTCCCGGACATAGAACTTTGACCGTGTTGGAGCTGAAAAAAGAGAGAATATGTATCTTACTGACTTGTAGCGAGGAAAACTTAACATTTACTAGTACTTAACATTTACTAGTGTACGTACTATTGCATTAAATTCTCTCATCTGAGATAGGGGTTATTGTAGCCCAGGCTGGTCTTGAATACCTGCCAGTCTCCTGGAATCCCAGTCCTGGGGAGGGATTCCAGGAGAGCCCCACCATCCCTGGCATTACATTGTCATTTATACTCTATCTGCCCACCCCCAATCTAAACAGTCAAGGAAACAGTCCAGAGAATTGAAGTAACTCGTCTGAGGTCACCAGCGGAGCCACAGGTCGGTCCTTGAGATTCCGGACGCCTTCAAAACCTCGTGAAGGTGTCGCCGGCCCTCACAGGCTCGGGAGTGGGAGGATGAGTCGCAGCCCCCGGAAGGACCTCCCTGTTGGTTGTCTCCTGGGCATATTTGAAGAGCCGGGGGCTCTTCAGAGGCCAGGAGGTAGTTTGGAGGAGGGCTGGCGGCCGATGTTGCGGAGTGGAAAACCCACACCGAGGCGGGTTGAAGGTCACTGCGGGACTGCCTGCGCCGCGACCCCATCCTACTACGGAGGTTCCAGGATGGTTCCTGCTGGGTGGGAGTAGGCCGAGGGCCGAGCCGGCCTGAAGAGACACACTCACCGCAGCTCGGAAGCCGGGCGGGGGCCAAGAGCCGCGAAAACGAGCGCAGAGCATTGGGTAGCGCCATCTTCCGCCCCTAGACTCCGCCCCTTCTCGGCGTGAGCGTCTTGTCGGGCGGGCACCGCCTTCTCCCTGCGCGCGCATCTCCGGAAGGTGGCGCGGAGCGCAGTGCCCCCTGGCAGCAGAAGCGGAATTTGCGGGTGGGCCAAAGTCCTACCTTCAGGACAAGGTTTCCTAGAACCTGGATTTAGGGGTCTGTCTGTAAAACAGCGGATGCAAAGAGGCCTGGGGCCGGGCAGGCAGTTTGTCCACTCCTAGGGCGCTCGTCAGAGGTTTAATAAAGTGTTTGTTGGTGAGCCAGAAAATTGAAAATGGAAGTGTCTTGAAGAATAAAATTTGGGTTGAATTTAGTGTTCCAGGTACAGTAAGTTAATTCATTGTGTGGTTTACAGTCATCATTTTATCGCTACATTGGCTACAGGATGTGCCGTAATTATTAGCATCAATTAACAGATGGGCTCAAAGCAAACTTGTGGACAAAGGAACTTTGTATTTGCAAAGGCCTCTTACCAGTTCCTAAAATCCAATTATATTCAAGATCACTTCGATGCCTCTCAATCCTGTGAGATAGAATTCTGCTATTTACTAGGGAGGCAATACAGGGCTTCCTACATCCTAGGCAAGTGCCTTACCACTGAGCTACAACTCCCTACATAGTTTTTGAGATAGGGGCTCACTAAGTTACGCAGGTGGCCATGAATTTGATCCTCCTGCCTCAGCCTCTTGAGGAGCTGGGGTTATAAGACCTTTCCACCAGGCCCTAGTAAAATTCTTGTAGATGTTACATGAAAGTGCCCTGACTGGCTCAGGAGGGGCATCCAGATGGCAAAGGGATCCAGTTAGCTGACCTAACAAGGTGGGACTGGCTATAATGCCATGTGTCTATGTAGAACAGGATCCAAACCATCGTGTCTCAAGTATCATTTGTGTCCACTATATGTCAACACTATGATTTTTAGTCGTTAATCTTACCACAGTTTCACAACTGTAACATAAAACCTATCCTGTAGGGTTTGTTGGGAAGCTTAGGAGTTATCTGGGAGTAGTAAATACGTTTGCCTATTCGACACATTGTACTAATCAGCTGTTTTGTTTTTTACCTTTGTAATTTTTATGTGTAGGCTCACATTGTGATAAGTGTGTGTGTGTGTGTGTGTGTGTGTGTGTTTGGAAGGTGACAATGAAGGTCAGAGGCATTGGATCAACCTGACTGATCAGCTGATTTAAACATTTTTATTTTTATGTCTGTGTTCGTGCCTGTTTGTCAAGTGCATGATGGTGCCTGCAACTGCCCATGGAGGTCAGAAGAGGGCACTGGATCCCCCGGTACTGTAGTTATAGGCAGCTCTGAGTTGTCCAGTGTGCTCTGGGTGCCAGGAAACAAACCCAGGTCATCTGTAAGAGCAACAAGCACTCTTACTTGCTGAGCCTTCTCTCTAGTGCATGATCAGCTCTTTTTTATGTTGCACAATTGACAGATTCTGTTTCACTGGTATCCAAAGACCATGTTTTAAAAACTATTGGTAATAGATGATACATTCTTTTTGATTTGATAAGATTTTATTATTTTTAATAATATGTTCATATGATGGTGGGGTATATGAATGAAGCTCCCCTTGGAGATCAGAGGAGAGCATTGTATTCCTTGAAGCCGGAGTTATAGATGTCTGTGAGCCAACTGGTGTGTGCTGGGAACCAAACCCAGGTCTTTGCTAGGGGAGTAAGCTGGCTTAACCATTGAGCTATCTCTCCAGCCTGCAGAAGATACAAACTTACCCTTAAAAGCCATTTGTTAAAACTAAAGCTGTTTAGGTCTACTTTAATAGCAAAATAAGTGTTAGCATTTTCCTTTAGTTAGTATTAGTATTAGTGTTAGTAGTTTTAGCAATATTATTTTAAAATCTTTTTAGTAAAACAAAAAGTCATTAGCAGAGTGTGGTGGCTCATGTCTAATCCCAGGTCTTGGGAAGCAGAGGCAGGAGTGACTCTATTTTGATAGAAGTTTGAGTTTCATAGTAAGTCCCAGACCAGCCTGGGCTAATATGAGACCCTATCTTAGAAAAAAAAAAAAAAAAAAAAAAAAAAGGGGGGAAAAAAAAAAAAAGCAAAAACAAG